GGGCATGACTCGTGACTCGAGGCCCACAATGGGTTCTTAAACTGGACCGGAGGGCCAGAACAAAAGCATGGATGGAGTGTTTGTGTGAACTAATATAAATTCAAAGTAAACATCATTACATTAAAGGGTACGGTCTTTTTTTTGTTTTTTGTTTTTTGTTTATTCATTTCAAAGGGCCCATAGTTTGCCCACGGCTGTTTTAGCCTGATCCCTACAGGCCACCTAGAGGGACCCCACCACCCGTGCACTGGGCCTCTAGTTTCTCAATAAAACTTTGGGGAGTGGGGGGGAGTTAAGCATAAGAGTTACCATGTGATCCAGAGTTAACATATGATACCACTTTTAGGCATATTTCCAAGAGAAATGAAAAATGTGCAGGAATGTTTATAGCAGTATGATTATAATAGCCCCCAATTGGAAACAACTGAAGTGTCCACTACCTGATGGGTGGGTAAATAAGATGCATTTCATACAATGGAATATTACTTGGTAATAAAAAAGGATGATGTATTGTACTGCTCTATTCTACACATGGAGGAATCTTGAAAACATTATGCTACGTGAGAAGGCCAGATCAAAAGGCCACATAGTATATGATTCTATTTACACAAAATGTCCAGAATAGGCAAGTCCATAGAGACAATAGATTAGTGGTGCATTAGGACTGGGGGAAGGGGGCTTGGAGGGAAAGTGGACGTGATTGCCAACAGGTGTGGGGTTTCTTGTAGGGTGATAAATACATTCTAAAGTTGACCTTGGTGATGGCTGCACAACCCTGTGAATGCACTTAAAACCATTGAGTGGTACAATTGAAATGAGTGAATTTTATGTTATGTGAGTTATATCTTAATAGAGATACACTCTAGCATATTTTTATACATATGTGAAAGCCAGGCATTTGTGGCCTGATTTGCATGCTTCCTGTTTAACTGCTGACACTGGCTTTGGCCTGGAGACAGTCGCTCTGCCCTTCACCGACAGCAGCTTGGCATCAAGTCGCCCTCAGCCACCTACTATTGCTGGCCCTGCACACACTTGCCCGCTTACTATTGCTTTCCTGGCCCACTGCACTTCTGCACAAACCTGTGGTGCTCCCCGGGCAGTGTCTGGGACTCGGCCTTTCTCAGGACCCCTCCAACCGCCAGGGCTTGGCATGAGCTCCCTTTCTGACCTTGTGTCCCAGAGGGGCTGGTAGCAACCCCCCGAGAAGAGGTTACATGCCACTCCTTGACCCCAGGAACCGAGCCCCACTTGGCCCCCCTAGTGAATCCTGGAGCTGGAGAGTCAGCCCAGTGGCCTTGGCCCCTTACCCTCCTGTCAGCAACCTGAAGATCTGAGGGAGTGCCGATATGAAACAAAGGCAGTGTGCCCCAGAAAGAAACGGAGTATTTGGGGGTAGAGGGGTGTGAAAGAACAGGTGCCACAGTTTGGTAGGGGAGGTATTGAGCCTCTTCAGGGCCACCTGCCCTCGAAAGCATGGAGATTTTCTTGAATAAGGGCGGGAAAAGAAGAGAAAGGAGAGAAACCCCACTGCTGGTCTCGAAATTGAGTCTTTTTTCTCCTGGGTTCGCTGTTTGGCTGGATGGTCTGTCACAAACGTAGCTCTGGGGTCTGCCCTGGATGGGCTACTGAGCCCACCAGCAAAAGATTCAGTTATTTCATTTCTCAAAAATAAACAAACACCCAAATAAATAAACAACATGAGCAGTCAGCTGTGAGCCATGCTGTCATTGTAATACCTGCAAAATTCGGTTGTCAGCAGTTGTCTTCATGACAATTCTTCAGAGATTACACAAAACTTTTTGTTTTTCACTCAAGTCAACCATAAAGCGATGGAACGGTGTGAATGAAAAAGGAGCTATGCAGTCAACCCGACAAGCTCAGGGGCTACATGGCAAGCCTGACACTGTCGGCCTAATAAGCTTAGTGACCAAAAGCAACCACACGGGATGGTCTGACCACAAATTTCTAACTGGGCAGGTCATGGCGGGTATCACGTCCCAGGCCTATAGCTCCCTTAGCAAAGGCAGTAAGCCCGAACCACTGTGCTTAGGCATCTAGGATAACATACCCAGTGTACTGGTTAATAATGCGGATTTTTTCAATAGATAGAGTTACACATATGTTGATATATATGCGATTTGATGTGTATGCTATTTTGTTGTATTGACAGCAAGCTTCAAAACTTCATATGTCAAATTT